AGTAATGAAAAATTTAGCAATAAAAAACAAAAACAAGATTTCTCAAATGTACAATTTATAAGGACTACTTCATGAGAAGCTAAATATATAAGCTAATATATTTTGATAATAAATATATTTTTGTTATATCTCAATGAGTAGAAAAATTGTATTTCTGACGTTTCGTGACTTCATTTAAGCCAATACTTCAGAGTAAAAGAGTGGCATACATTAAATCACAAAACATTAGAAATACAATTTTTCTACTCATTGGGATATAGCAAAAATAGATTTACTATTAACTCTCTACCCAATGCTCAATTCATTAAGACTATTTGATTCGTAAAAGACATACGAATGGTATAATTATAATAAGTGATGTCATAGTTGTACTCAAGTTTCGCATGTTAAACAACATTTACAAAAAATGAATAAATGCATTAATTTTACCAGTTGCCTTGTTGATAGATGAAAATAGTTAGTTTAACATAATCAAAATGTGATGTAGAGATATTTTAAATTTTTTGATGAAGTTTTGTTCTCTGAGCTGGATGGTTTGGTCGTGAAGCTTTCATCGTTCTTCTGAACGACATCATCAGCGAAAATTTCAGGTAGAAGTAAAGTGTTCGAATTTCTCCACATGTGGTTGACAGCATGTCATGTACACCTCGATGTTGATTGGTTCTTGTTGACCTTAAACCTGTCATTGTTGACTTCTTTGTTTTGGTTGTATCTCCCATTGGTTTGATTTTTGTTCCAATTTACAGAACAAGCTGTGAACCACATGGGAAGAAATTTGAACAGTTCACTTCTACCTGAAATTTGTGCTGATGATGCCGTTCAGAAGAACGATCACGACAACACCCAGCTCAGCTACAAATCTTCTTCACTATTTAAAATTTGTTAAACTTTTATCATAATATAAACCGGTGTATGAAGCACACTAAGTTTAAACTAGGTAAACCGATAATTGTAGGGGCTTTTTAACAAATCGATTAACTGATATTAAGTTGATTTAATCAGGCGTTCATAAACTCTACATTTCAGAAGAAAATTACAGGTCATTCAATAACATTTTAATTATTTAGATTATTCGAGATGAGTGATTATTTGACTTTAATCCAGTTGAGTTTTTCAAATAGACTTTGTATATCTTTTAGTATGTTTTTAATATAATTTTTACTCTCATTTTACTAATTACACTAATCAGTAAACCTTCAAGGATTCTACATCTCTGTTAATAGCCTTTCAAATGACAAATTTGTACATTGGAGACAAAATAATTACAGAACCCAGATAATTGGTTTGTTAGATTTTCTGAATTTTTAATACTTGTTGAATATATTCCATGAATGAACTCTTTGATACTAAAAAAACAACTGACTCATTAAAAGCGACTTTTATGAGGCGCTTTTTAAATTCGCTAATCTATGAGTACAAAAATACTTGGAAAATAATAAGCTAAATCTACGGATGTTGTTTGTTTTTAATAATTGGTGGAAAATAATAATGTACTTTTAAAAAAAAAATAGTTAAGTCAAAGAAAATATTTTAGGTAAAATCACTGATTTGTTGAAGAGTCAACAAACTTGTAGAAGTTTATAAATAGCGAAAATGTTGCACAGTATTTAACCAATTAAATATTGATTAACTCAAATGATCAGATATGAACTTAGAGTAAAGGTAATTTTTATTGGTTCAAACTAAATGTGATCATCTATGTTCACTCATAAAATTGCTACAGAGTGTATGTAATATAAAATAACATATGATATATATATATATATATATATATATATATATATAGTTTCTATGCTCAAATTATTCTAATTCTTTTAAAAAGTCGAGGACAAAAAGTAAGAAACTTAGTGCAATGTGTGTGTGCAAAAAATTAAGATGAAATTTTGGCGAGACTCTAATTTAGGGACGACTTTTGAACGAATCTAAAATGACCTTATTCGCCAATCAGAAGACAGTTAATATTAAGTAAAAATATATTATAAGAAGGTAATGAATTACAGTGGATATTTTTCTTTTACATGATTTAAAAACTTGTTAAGGTTTGATAAAGGTTCAGAGGTTCTGAATTCATAATGCATATGGTACAGAAACTCGTTCATATGGTTAGGATGACGAGACTCTAATATAGGGACGAGACAATCAGAAGCGTTTGAGCAATTTCAGGGTCACGAAGCCAAGTTCAACAAGTGACGCTAACATACGAACGGTTTATGGCGGATTTTAGAGAAGAGGTGATTATTGAGAGGCTATAACCCTAACCCCTAACCCTATGGACGAGTTTCTATACCATATGGATTATGAATTCAGAACCTCTGAACCTTTATCAAACCTTAACAAGTTTTTAAATCATGTAAAAGAATAATATCCACTGTAATTCATTACTTTCTTATAATATATTTTCACTTTATACTAACTGTCTTCTGATTGGCTCGTCCCTAAATTAGAGTCTCGCCGAAATTGTAATGTAGAAAAAAGTATGACTCTTTACAATTATATGTACATAAAGCGGCAAGTTAACGGTTTAAAATATTCGATTTTTTTATCATTATATTATAGGTTCGGTTCCAGATTCTTTTGTTTTGGCTCACACAGCCGAGCAATTTAATTAATCAACATAAAAAGTACTGTTCAAGACCAAGTAAACTTGATTACACTTTTCCAATAAATGAATTAATTACGAATTTATACGGGAACAATAACTGTATTACTAAATGATACTTTAAAAAGCCAGTACATATGAGCATCCATGTACGTGAAACTAAGTAGAATGGGAATAGTTATTTTAGATAGAGGTATCAAAACTGTTTGTAAAGGACTATCCAAACAGAGACTCATTTCAAGAATGACAGAAATGAGATAACGTCATTTAAGAAAGTCCTTAGTTTAAAAAAGTATCGGTAAAGCAAGAAACAGTGCAGACAAAAGTACTTGAAGAGTAACTTAAAACCAAATTTTATATGTATTTTAAACATAACCAATTATTTTATCAATAATTCACTGTTTAAAAGATGATAGATACAGCGTGAATTTATGCAGTAAAACAACACCTGAACTGATATGACTAATACAATTAAACCACTAAAAAAGAGAAAATGGAAAAGATGGAAGCGAAATCGTCAATTAAAAAATGACATGCAAATAAAAAATTAATAAAAAGGCGTCAAACTTATTTCTATGAATAAACAATTACATTTCAAATATATCAAACATGACATCAGGAATGATTTGATTATAATCAGCTAATATTCTATAGTCCTATCAAAAAAAGTCTTTGTTAATTAACAACAAATCAATTATAACTGATCGTATACAATACATGAAGTGAACTACTAAAAATATTAGTTACGGACGACCATCGACTTTATGCACTAATAACAATAACGGACCTCTAGTCTCCGTGTATTTCCTGATCGCTGAATCACTGACTAGATGACTGGTGATGAATTTATTTCGAGAAAATCCTCTACGCACACAACGATAGTAAAACATTTCAGGCAAAGAATATTATGAGCAAAAACTGTCTTGAAGTTCCTGACACCTGATCAGAGGCTGGAAAGGATGTAATCATGATTTGACGAATATGAGATTGAGATGATAAAACTGAAAATGAACGATAAAAAACGAAACAGCGATGCAGCTGACGTGACTGAATTCTAGATATTTTAAACAACGGATAGACGTTAGATATGTATTTTCACAAACAGAAGGTATTCTGAATAACATGAGAATAATCCACGCCGTTTTTATGGTCACAGTCCCTGTATTTATTGGACAGACCAAGTACACCAACCGTTCAAATAATATTATACTTATAATATTTAGCAAACCCAGTTAAAGTATTTATATTCAATACATGAATGTAATCAGTAAGTAAAACCAAATAGGATACTATAATCAGGTGTAAAGTAGGCGAAAATATAAACCATAGATAAAAATTTTCTGAGGTAAATTAACTTGGGTGTCTACTCAAAAGGTTTGAAATCTGAATGGTTAGAGCAGAAATTTCATGTTTTCAGTTTGTTTATCAAAATGACAAAAAATAAATTCATTACTGTACTGAAATTAGCAAACAAGTAACTAACTACTAAAATTGAAGATGGTGTGTTTCCGAGGTGACAGACATGGAAATGCAAATGGAAGTACTTGGAGTCACAAAATTTTCAATATCTGAAAAGCCACCAACGAACAACAGATATATATAAGAGGCCTCCAAAACACTGTAAGACAACTTAGTTTGTTATAAAAAAGATTTATAACAATGTTACCAATCTTTACATTGTGTTTTAATTTGATTTTAGAAGACATTTCACGAAGCGTTACGATATTAACTGAATATGAATTATGAGAAAAACTCATAGTACCGCTGGAGAGGTTACCGCAACAGTATCATCCTTTCTTGAAAGAAATTCCCTGATACTTCCATAGTATGATGAGTATGAAGAATTGGTATATGGATGTATTAAACAGTAATTATTCATGTAAGACAATCACTTGATAGTTGTTTAACAGTCCTTAACTCAGAAAGATATGATATACAACCTGGCGAAGGCTCATGAATTCATATAGATTTATTTATTTAAAAATCAGTATATGGATAAATAACGTGTACCCGTAAAATAGAAATCGTCAAATATAAGTAAATCATAATTATTATTAACAGATGCAACAGCAGAATATGTAGTTCAAATGATTTTATACACTCAGTATTGAAAAAAGCTGATGAATGTCACGAGATAAAAATAATGCATATACACTAATTTATACATCCTCATAGATTATGAGCACACTTGAATTGAAATGAGAGTCATCTCTTTAGATTTAATTTCTAATCGATCGCTTTCACAATAAAAAAACTGTCTCATTGATGTATTGTTTCATTCACACTGCAAAATTAAGATAGACAGAAAACAATAACACATTTTCAACTAACACAATATATGAATTATAATGTTGATAAAAATACAAACAAATGATAGAACTAGGCTTGTATCTTCTTTTTTCTAGAGGTTGAGGATAAACGAAATTTAATTTTCTACTAGCTTTTTTTATGTAGATTTATATCATTAGGAAAGATAGATTAAACCCGTTTAATGAAACGCTTAAAACTTCAATATAGTTTCAAATATTGAAAAAAGAAAAGGTGAGTGATAAGTAATAAGGATTGGCATGAGTTTACAGGTAAACAGCGTAAATGATACCAGAAGGAGTTAAGGTGGAAAAAAGAAAGAAATACCGGTACATTGCAAGCGAGAGGTTTCTTGTAAAACTACACGGCAGAACGCACAATTTCCTACGGCTACTCCCCTCCAAACAAAAATCTTTGTTAATAACTTTAGTTATTTGTTTTTTAGACAATGAGTTGGTCGGTCGTTTTAAGAAAAACAAGAATTGTGCCTAAAAACACTTATTCGAATGTTTATTAATGAATGGGAATATTTGTTAATCAGCTAAACTGTAGTACTGATTGAATTATTTATATTGAATAACGTTCAAGTGCTGTTTGGGATCAAATATTACCCATATCGAGACATCACCCTCGTCAGATATTCGAAGAAATCAAAACTATTCGTTGATGACGTCAACGATATAAATCCTATTAAGTTGCGATTGAGTAAAAATGACAAATCGATCGATGAGGTAGTGAATCTTGGATCAGCTGAAGCGATTTGGAAATTGATTACGCAAGCCGAACCACTACCTACCGCGACACGCAATGTTAGCTGGTGTACGTTGAGAGGAAGCCAACGAGTGGTATCAGGTCATGAAGTTATTAGTTGTTGGACTATGTCGTGCAGGTAGGTGCTGCCTAGCTGTTTGAGGTTCTCGAGAGCAGCGGTTGGAAATATTGAACGGTATACTTCATAACCGATCTGAATGACGCAGATTCATCCACTCTGTATCTCCCTTTAGATTTTAAACTTTAAAAAAATATTTTTGCACTTTTTATTTCCGCAAATCCAATCTTCCTTCTCAAGTTATGTTGTCAATGCCCAATGTTCTCTATTACCATTGATACTGTTACTAGCTTTACTATTAATAATTTTATCCTGCTACGCAGCTTTTGTATGGTAACTTGAACTAATGCATGTATACTTTACAGGTTCAACGTTGTTTAAGACCAACAACATAAACGAAGTCATTTAGCAGCATTCCTAATTCTTGCATATCGTACTGTTTCATATCTGTTATTATTTCCTTATTTATTGTCGTATGTTACTACTTAAGCAGAGTTGTAATTTATATGTAACTAGTTATATTCGATTATAATAGCATTTACCTTTAAACCAATTAGTTGTCCACAAACCATCTAAAGGAACATTTTTATTTCAAATTATAGATTAGACAAATCAGTAATTTTATTCATCCAAAATATCTGTCTAGGTTTTGACCTTTGTTATACACAAATTCCTTCAGTTACATTTACGTAACAATTCATCCTATTATTTTGTATCTCTCACATTTTTGTTGTTGATGTTTTACGAACTAATGGTTTTATTCCAGTCAAACGTTCATCTCAATGACCTCGACAAAAAATGTGACCAGTTTATATTTTACAAAAGTTCACACTATTTCCACTGATTACCAATCAAATCTTTTTTTGTGAAATTGGTCATTTATTAAGTATCATTACTTAATTACTTGTAGTCTGTAGATTGTATTCGTTACAGACTGATCTCATTTATATAATTACTACAAACCAGGAAGTGCTAGACAACTGCTTCATCCTAGTATGGGATTCTTCAGGAGTGTGCATCCGTGATCGTGCCAAGGGTTAAGTCTGAGACTTAAAAGTCTGGTTGAGATAACCAAACCATCAGAACAACTGTGGCGAATTGGTGAATAACAGAGTATATATATATCAGGGGTAAAACAGCTGTATACTATTATTATACCTCATAATAAAATCATTCACATTGCACACATGTGATAGATAGCACAACATACTAGAATTCAATGAGAAAACAATATGAATGTAGATTTAGAAAAGACACTCTATCACCGGATAGTTAACATTACAATCTTTTAAAAAGTTACAAAGTTAACTGTCTCCAAGCTTTTCATAGACTAACAAGTATTTGTTAACTTTTTTTCCCAGTATTCATCGTCAAGATCTTAAATTATAAAATAAAATATGCAAGGGATCTGAACCGGCGGCCTGCTTGAATATCTGGGCTACCTGTTCCACCGATCTAGATATTTCATCAAGTTATCTGTTTTGTTGTTTGTTTTAGCACATCACTATGTCTATTGTGCGCACAACCTATTCAGGCGCGTTTATGAAAAGTTTACAACCTTTCGCTATACGGGATACAAATAGGTACAATCAGCGACATCATGGTTGCTCGCAATATGCATTGAAACAAATGATCAGTAATCAAATGTGGATTACCGAACTTCTAACATCTAACTGGTCATCATTCAAAATTTATCGTCACAATCGATCAAGGTATAAGAAAAGGAAACTTGTAGAAATACTTTATGCTGAGAATTCTATGTTGTACCAAAAATATAATGTTGAATAAAGCTTCTGATAATAATAATAATAATCCTTAATGAGAAACGTTTTTTAAAATTTCTAGTCTGATTCAGATACAACTTTAAACAGAAAGAGAATGTGAAGGTGATTTTCTTTATGAGTCGATAGCAGATAGGGCTTCATTACCAATAAGACTGAAGAACTGTTTCACTTTGTATTAGGGAGTTATAAACTTGTACAAGATCAAACTTGGAGATTCATATTCATATGATGAGCAGTTGATCTATAAATCATCTAATCGAATTATAATGGTCTATATTTTCATCTCTACAACAAACTACATTTCTTTGTCATTGTGTTAAAAATTAACTTCAAATAATACAAAAGTATCTGATTTATTACCAATCAAGGTGTTATATCCCGATAAGAATAATGAATGGTAACTTTTGGGATCCGTTTATGGACCAATACTATGAGTATATTTTTATCGTATAATTGTTATGTAACTAAACTGTCCATATTCATGTCCCTCTTATTATAAGCTTTAATTTGACACATAGACTATTACTATACGATTTAGCATTCTTGAGTTATGGCCTGTCTATTAATTACTATCTCCTTTATTCACAGCCACTTTTGGTCAAATATTGTACAAATGTTATTTTCTATTTTATGGGACGTTGTGGTCTGTATAAAATGAAAAAATCGAAAGGAACACATGGTAGTGATAAAGAAAAACGAACCTTTTATTATATTTTTTTAAACGAAATCTATGAGAATCATGATTAATCTTATGTAAAACTTTCCGTTTGTTTTGTTTAAAGTGATTATCATATTAACAATGCGATATAACATGTACTATAATTGATTAACAAAAAATAAAGTAGAATGTTTATCTATCAACGATGGCTTGGGTGAACGAAGATGTTACCACCTTTTAAGTAAAGATAAGTTTCACCGCACAGCACCAACAGTTATTTTACTACATTGAAAGTTTTAGCAATCCTGAGTCAAAAATGAAGCTTATTATGACAACGAAACAAAATATCATACGTTATTGCTCACGCTGAGATTTTATCTTCAGTGATAATAGTTTCGTAGTCTAATTAACGAAACTTTCAAATTATAATCGATAAACTTTTAACAAGTAATTTAACGCTTAACTGAATTCTAATTATCATCATATGAGAGTAGACTCACCTATGTACATAATGCAATTCGCTTAAATAAACCATAGCTTCACAAGCATCAATCACCATTTCAGTGAGAATTTTGACATTCAAATTGGTAGGATATTCATTAATGAAATCCTTTTTAGGAACCGTTGTAGTCTGTAACAAGGTTTGACTATATGAATTTACTATTTCCCCGTTGACTGCGCCTACAAGAGAATCTACAAGGGGAAATAAGTAAGAAATATACTTACTGTATCCTGGTGATTCACCGGTGTATCGGCGTAAAAATGAATAAAAATCACCAAAAGGCATATATTCAATAAGGAGTGAAAGTGGTTCCAGTGGAATACAAACACCTAAAACCAAATTACAAGTAAATGAATATGGATTAAAACTGACACAAACACACGAAATTAAAAAAACTTATTTAATAAAATTAATCTAGGATAAAAATGAGCATACATTTGTGCCAAATTAATTGGATTTGATTGACGAAATGAATCTGGTTAATTAACAGTGAATTAATTAAAGTACTCATTAGTTGTTTTATTTATTTGAACACATAAATATTGGCACAAATGGGCACCGAATACAAGTCACTTGGTTTTTGTGTGGGCTGTGATACTGCCTGGGTGCCCAGACAGAAGCAGATGGTTTTTTTAGGTGGTTACTCCCAGGACATTGGACCTGAAGGTCTGATTCACAAGGCAGTGGAGCAACGTCAGGAGATGCAGTCCTCTCAATCCCGTAAACAGCACTTGCGCTGCGAGAAGGCAGTGAGTAGGACTTCCCTGGCAGTGGCTGTATACGCGTTGCCATGCGAGAACATTTCGAGAGGGAGAGCTAACTGTCCCCACCCTCGACCGTACCAGGGCATTTGGGGGTAATATATTCACAAAATAATGTATTGTGATTGTGTGCCTAATTAACTCTTCAGTTCAACCTAAAAAGTTAGTAAACTGAAAAAAATAAGCAAACGATTAACAAGTGAAACAGTCCAATAATAATCAAATGCAAAATTGAAAAAAGTTACAAGATCTATTATCAAATATAAAGGTGGATTGGATAGAACAGTTTTACAATACCTAACAATTGTATAATATTTCTATGCTGTAATTCAACCAATATTTCAGCTTCACGAAGGAAATTAGCTTCCGCCTTCAGATTAGAACCTCCTTGAATCATTTTCAGTACAGCAATACAATTATTTGATTCATCGGAAGATGACTGGACTAGAAGTAAAATTTAAAAGATTATATATATATTAAAAGATAAGGTCTACAAGTATGTAATCGTTAAAACTCTGACTATCACAAAGATTTAATAATCGAATTTACGGAAGAAAATTATTTCAAGTATTATTAACCTAGTGAGTATACAATATTCATTATTGTTAGATATAATGATATCAAATAAAACATTGTTATAAGACTGATATTTTACTTCAAAGATGAGTAAAAGACTACATTTTGCATTGAGTTGAAAAGTTCTCTTTAAATAAAAAATGAAGGCTAACAACTACACACTTTTATTTCATTAGGTTGACCTTCAATGAGAAACAAAAAAATTCTAACAGATCGATTTGATCGAAATCCCAGAGTATATGTGTAGTGGCTTAGTGGTTAAAGTATTTGAATTTAATTATTAATTCACAGGTTCAAACCCCGCTCCACCTGCTATAAATTAAGTAACTACGTATTATCGTTAGCCTTCGCACTTAGAGTGTGGCTCGTATCCAGGTACCAGGAAAATGAATTCATTTAAACTTTATAAAAACTATGATGTATACAAGACTAGGGTTATACACCCATCAAATACAATAAAATTACATTAAGTTTACATTTAGAAAATACATATTACCTAAAAAAAAAGAGACTTTCTTTTTGTGCTCAAAAATACATCTACAATGATAAAACGTGTAAATTGAAAACATTGACGCTGTTTTATAATAATTCATCTAACAAGTACAAGTTTGCTTATCCAACATTCAACTTAACGATGTTTGTGAGAGCATCATGTGATAATAATCTTGACGTTGAAAAACTCAAATCTTCAACTCTGATGACTGAAAGTTATGTCCTTTAGGTATCATTCTATTGATCCAGGAACATTTACGGTCAGCAAAGACTTTTGTCAAAATTTAAACGAACAGTTTCAAAATAGTCGGGTCCGAATATATAGGAGACAGTAAAAAGGAAATTTTACTTGTAAAACCTCAAACGATTGGAATTAAAAGCAACTCTAATGTATTGCTCAGCAGTCTAGCCCGAGATTTTTAAATATCTTAACATGATTGAATATGTTTAGTACACATATCTTGTGAACGCTATCTATATTCGATAATTTTAATGTTTGAATATTTCCCTGCAGACGCTTAGACCAGACTCCCAAGTGAAATGTTAAAGTTATTTTTGGTTTCAATCTCCGAGACTTTTATGAACATAATCTCTTTTCTAATTTTCGCTGAAGATAACATAAAAATGGAAGCAGAAAGGAAGGAAAGAAGCATCTTAAGTGAATAGTCCGAGTTACTTCAATATTATATCTCTTAACTGATAACTGTAATATCATGTAAATCAGTTGTTTATAGTGAGGATTCATTCAAAAGGCTAAGAAAAAATAAATGTAAGCACTATAAAGGTGACTAATATATATCAATTCCTAGTAGGTAATCTATTACTTATAATGTACAGTGAACATGTTCATACAAGAGGTAATAAACGATGTGATAATAAAATCAATCACTATGGTCAAATACTATCAACTTGTGAAAAAAAGAACACCTAGAAAGTAAGGTAACTTTCTAAAAATGTTGAATAGATTTTTTTAAATGAAAGCGTCATAAATCCGTTTACATACATTTATATCTTATTTTCAGGGTATGCTAGCTAATTTATTTGATTTTCTAACATGAAATTAGGTGTTAAATTGAGACAATATTTTGCATTTAGGTAGAGACAATAAAGTGAATAAGACAAGAAAACAATGCAAAATTTTCACTGAAATTCAAAAAACAAGTAAATATCATTTAATGATTATTGAAATAGGATAGAAAAGTGCTGGTTTTAATATAAAATGTATACGTAAATCCCTGTAAAAAGGGGAACTAAAATAAATATGCTTCACACAAAATAAAAAGATATTATTGTGAACAAGCAAGGGAGAAAAGAGGAGTACAATCAAAAAACGATAAAGTGAACAAAATTAGTATATTATAAGACATACATTTTGATTAAAAACACAACCAAGAGAGGCTTATTTTAGGTTGCTCTTAATTTTATGAAGAATTTAAAAGAAAACTACGACAAGATCCCCAGTGGTTTCAATTCCGAACCATGTATGAAAATTTCTTAAGCCACTGAGTAGTAACATCTTCAGGACTCCGGCCGAGGAGTCGTGATGTACCAACGGATACCAGTCCTAGAGAGAATTTATTTATGCCAAGGCTTCATGACAGGTAACTGATAGGAAAATTCCGTTGAAAATCATTCCAGAAAGTTAGTGCAAACGATAATCTAAATTTAGATGAGCCATCTGAGTTGTAGCTAAAAGTCATTCATGATGGCAATTTAAGAGACCTAATGAAGAACATAACCTTCTCACAGATGAATTTGCTATTACATATTGGGAATGATGTATCTCTTACGAACAAAATCGTAAATCCACGTTTTAAATGGTAAACAGTATTGATGGTCATAATGTGAACTACCAAAGGTCAGTTGTATATGTTTTAATGATGAAACAGTTGAGAATTGTACAACTCCTGGCACTAATACTACTTCATTACTGAGAACGTTCGTGATAATAGTGTAATTTGACGAAAGATATACCAGCTAAGCTAATGAACAACGGACTGTAGATATTTTTTTTGTTTACAAAAATTTCGAAATAACTACGGCCTTAATAACAGAATATGATTTGTATATTTTATAGAAACTAAAAGTTGCTTCCATTTACTTATAGAATACTTAACAATTACAATTGAGAAATAGACTATGCAATGATTTTAGACTTTTCTGACAACAGGCTAGTTATGGTTAGGTAAAAAAATAACTCGTATTACATTTTTTAAAGAAAACAATGTTGTTAGTCTACAGTACAGAGAGATTAATTTCTAAATAAACTATGACGAAACAGCAAATGTCCATTATTCACATCAGGATCACATGTTCGATAACTGATAAAGGTTGGTTGGCCAAAAGTTGGATTTAAAATTTATCTAATTGGTTAGGTATGATGGAACTATAAATTTCAAACGTCATTTCGTTTAATGAGTATAGGTTTATGTACTACCTTTGAGACATAAAGTTTGTGCGTGAGGGAGAGGTCTACATGAACAACAGCTGCCTAAAACGCAACAGATAAATGTGGACTATATCGAGGATCTAATAGTTATCAGTCAAATGTATCGACAATTTAGCCAATAATTCATACCATTATTAGTTTCCCTAATACGTGTTTAAACCAAGTAAAATGTGCAGTAATCAAATCGATCGGATAATTACTGAGATACTTTTTATTAACATAAAAGCAGTTATAAATCAAAAACATTTAAAAAGAATTTTTAAAAATTCTATACCGTCAATAGTATTTTCTTTTTCTTGTGAACTAGAAGAGACAAGACCCAGTCTTTCTGAAGTTGTTAAACTTAACAAACGTCTTCTATGGACTAGTTTATTCAAATTTGGAGCATGTACTAAGATGATCCAACCAAATGCACGTTTAGCTAAACAACATATTTCAACCAGACGATTGCGAGGATAGCACAGTGATTTAAATCTGGAACAGAGATTTTAAAATAACTGGAAATTATGTTATTAATTTAAACATTGATTACTGAGGAAAAATGTAAGCATATTCTACTTGAAAAGTTTGATATGATGGATTTCAGTAACAGACAGTTAAGTCTCCTTTTTTAGCAATTAGAATCCAATTACAGAGCAAGGACTAATCTATCATTAGGCAATTGAAGTATTTATTCTACCACAACATGATCAGATTACTTTGTTGACAAACCATAAAAGAATGTGATCACATTCTTTACATAATATTACATTATGAGTATATATAAATAAGAAACTAAGTAGACATAAAGGTTTCTCAATCTGTAAATGAATATATTATGTTAAGCAATTAACACTTACTTTGGATGTAGCAAGTGATTCATCGAGGCCACATTAAATAACTTTTCCGGTAATATGGAAGAACCTAATTCAGCAGACCCAGATGATAGTGAATAATAGGATGATTCAATCAAGCCAAGAGTAGTTGGAGAAAACTCTGAATCAACCTCATAGTCATCAATCAACACGTGATTATCTGAGCAAGAGTCACCACTAATAGGATGATCTGTAGTTACTGCAGACGGAACACCAGTTTGTTTATTTTGAGAACAACGACAAGATGAACATGTATCTGATAAAAGGTTGCTAGCAACTCCACAGATCACACAAGTATTTGGTGAAGAATCGATTGTTTTAGGAGGTGAGATAATTGTAGGCACATTGGTCACATAAACTACTGACTTATCCATTCGCATTCCCAATGTATTAGCCTCAAACTCTTCATCAATCAATTCATTTTTAGTTACAGGACAACTATGTACAAATTGAATCATTTTGAGAGAATCGTGTTTCGATTTCTTGCGAAAATTAGATAAACAGAAACATGGGCAAAAAGATGATAAATAACGACCATGGCATACATTAGTCATAACATTTTGATTAGATGCTGAAGGCGTGTTTTTATCTTCAGTATATTGTGTAACAGCAAAAACTGAATGGGATTGACTAGCTGTATGAGATGAATGTGTGAAGTCAACAATACGATAATATGCTCCAAGAATACATTTGGAACATGGATTAAGTTGTCTAAGTCTACGTCGACGAGTTAATAATTTTCTACGTCGCTCCAAATATTTTTCTTTGTTAATTTCTGTAGAATCATAGAGATGCTCAGAAAATTGTCTCTTTCCATCATTTTCTTCGTTAACACTATTTACATCTCCTGTAATTTGAGGCTTGTCAAAATCTAATTGAGAAAAGTGTATATCCGAATTTTCAATATTTTTTCTAGAACAACGATTTATGAGCCAAATTATACAACCGATGATTATTAAACAAATAACCAGTCCAACAATTGAACAAGCGATAATTGTCTAAATAGTTTGTCAAATAAAATTTATATGTTACAATTAAAATTAAAGCACACAGATATTAACTTATTTATGGCAAAACAGTATACAAAAAAATTATTTCAGTAACAATTTTCGTTGTGATAAACTTTCAGAACATTATGATTTGACAATGTTAAGATATAAGAACAGGAATTTGTTAATCAAATACACTAGTAACGCTTTTACATTAATATAACAATAATAGAATTTTAAAAAGGCACATAAAATTTCGGTCTTGCCCACTAAATTTTGTGTAATATAGAACTAAAGTATGTTTCATTATATTTTCCTCACCAAATTGTTAAAATTCATCTTGAATTAACTACAAATCATTTTTTGTTGTCAACATATTTGTGAACACTGAGGTAGCAGTGAGCATACCTGATGATTTTCAAAATAGTGATCATTTTAAGTATTTTTTTAAATAAGATTTGGTATTTTTTAGTAACTCCATGTACACGTCACAAAATAAACCCAATACTAAATATCACTAACTATTACTGGGTTAAAATTCAGCTATTTATTCATAAATTTAATTAATTCACTTTTAAGTAATAACAATGGCCACGTAAATGGTGATATGAAAAAAAATCATGAATGTATCACACAAAATGTTGGATTTTCCAAGATTAAAAATTTCATATCAGTTTTTTTAACTTCTATGCTTCGGTTACTTTGATGTAGATAAGAGGATCAAAACCTACTGATAGAATAATAGATATGTATGTCATTTTACTATGAAAATGAAGTACGGAGGTGGGAATACCAACCACAACAAACTAAACAAAAATACCTACTTAATTTGGTGATGGGGTAAGAACCAATAGATATGATTTTACTTTCAGCTAGTTGAAATTCAAAGTAAATTGAATATTTCATGTGGATATTTAGATCTTTCAATGATTTGATGATATATATGTTGGTAGAGTGTTTTCGTTTTACTTATCTATTACACTTAGAGCCAACATATGTAGGGCTTATTTGATAATACCTACAATCTACAAAACAATTCCATTGTAGTATAATAATATAGTAGAGTACTACTGAATTTTTACTGAAAAAACTTAATTCATGACATGAAACTATCTGTTAAAAAACATAATTACAGGTAATAATCAACGAAACGTGTCACGCATATATATATATATATATATATATATATATATAAATTAGTAAACTTCTAGAGTAAAGATTACCAGAAAAATAGAGAACAAGGTACATAGAGAGAACGAAAGACATACATATCAGAGCACTAAGTTATGGATATGTCTATGAATATAAATGCAGGTACATGTAGCACACAGCCAGTCAGACAATTTAACTGTTCTGTACAAATTACAAGAAAGACCTCCGATATTTAAAGTAATAATCGATACAATTTTAAGACGAATACGAATGTAAAACACATATATTGACGTATATATATTGATGCTTATGTAGTAAATTTATTGATAAAAATGGTTAATATTCAGAACATTACTTTCCTTATTAATATTGAATGGTAACAACAATGTTAAGAGTGAGAACAATAAATACATTACATGTACTTTATATATAGATTATATATATATACAATACTAATAATAAGTATATAGATTACAGTTAGAATAATGAGGAATCCGAAATGTAATGATACTAAGTCCCTCACATCTGTTGAAAGGTAAGGAATAAATACATTGATTTCCACTGTGACACAAGCTCTTCCATCAAGAAGTCCACATTTACAAACACAAGTTATTTAAATAAATTTCGTTTCGTAAAGAAATACAAATCAAGTTTAGTAAATAACAAAAATGGAACATTTTGAAGGTTCAATTTACAATATCTATCAACTAAACGACTTTCTAAGTGAAATCCAATTAATTAGATTTTACTGACCAATGATAAATTATTGGACACATAAAGACTATTAACATTCACCATCCAATTATTTAGGAGCGTCATGGAGTCCCCTTTGAGTTTTTAAACACAAAATAATTAATATTCTGTTGCACAAATGATCTGTAAAAAAACTAGAATGCATAAATTTCCATTATTCAGTTAATACTTATTTTTCACTGGTTTCAGTAGCATACGACTAAATCATAAGTGGTGGAGAAGAAACATTGAAAAAGAAGAGACCTACATATCACTGGAACAGGCAACGTAACTACGGCAATGGACAATCAAGTGGTTAATATAATGTGAAAAAATAGAGTTACCGAAAGCCTTACCAATAACCAACCTTTCAATACCATGCTTCCATGCGACGGTCTTAAAATTATTTACTTAAGACACAGACTTCAATATCTGTATTTATTATTTACTATATCTGTTATAACGAAATGAATAGAAAGCTTATATTGAGACCGGAAGCAAAACGGTAAGCTTTTAATAACAGACTTTTTGTACAATTAATTAAATGTTTCATTATCAATTTAACCGTTTACTGCTAATCTGAAAAGATTTTTTTCTCTGCCTTATAATATTCGCATTTGAGATGATTAGAACATATTGTTTCTACATTTTTTTTTGGATAGTTCTCCACTTTGGTGGATTCTTTTTTTTTGAAAAGTGAATGTTATACCTTAAAATTTACTTTGATATTTAGTTAAGGTTGTTCGTTATCCTGTTTTTTGATAACAAAATCAGTGAAGTAAAAGCAAACTAGTTTTGTCAATAACCTTTAATGCTCACGTTGTTCAAACTGATAAAGAACTTATCAATTTGTGAAAAAAAGAAGACTGATTAAAATAGATGAGGATAAAGCGATTTCGCGACCATCTACCATTTTCTGAGGTAGATGCGTGTCTTTAACACAGATTGGCTAGTGGATTGATTGAAGTTAGACATGACCACCGTCGGATGCCGTCTCAATGGTCTAGAGGTTAAACGTTTGAGCGCGAGACGGAAGGTCCTGGGTTCGAGTCCCGTGTGTGGGATCGTGGATGCACACTGCTTAGGAATCCCATACTAGAACGAAAGGGCCGTCCAGTCCTTCCAGGTTCTTAATGGTGGTATAACATTAATCGATTCATGATCTCAATCAAAAACTTAATCTCCACAACTCCACACTGATTATTGACAAGACACACAATAAGAGAAATGCGCACCAATAGAAAAGATCTTATTAACCTTTATTTTTGTTAAGAAAGATTTATTCGACGATATAGCAATTTTCATCTTACAATGTTTCCAAATCAATTACAATGATATTGTGACAGTTCATCTTTTATTAACGTGAAAACAAACAATCCTTATCTAGGGAAAAGTTCTCTAACATAATCGTACAAATGATGAAATCCGATGAAAAAAGATAAATAAATTTCTTAATAAACTAAAACAACGTAATAAATTGTGATTTGTCGTATCATTTATTAACAAAGCCACATGAATGAATATACATTGTATTTAACTGTTAATAATAAAAAAAACACTTCAAATGCTACCATAAAACATACCTGTAGCTGAGCCTCTGTTGTTTCTAGACCATTAAACGATACATCACCAATGGTCCAGTTATGATGATAATCACTGTTGTTACTGGTCTCTGAACACTGAGGAATTTGATAACAAGAAGTTAAATACCATTCTTCCAAGTGATTAGGCTTTGACTTCATAGATACATCTGGAAAATTTTCTTTGTTGCCTTTTCGACTTAAACAGAATGGTCTTGATGCCAAACCAGACGGATTGCGACACACGGCTGACGAACTGGCTTCAAGACCTAAACTTCTAGGGAAAGTGAAACTGTTTAAACTGTAAAAACCAGGCCAAATACCAGGTTGTAGATTCTGAATATTATCATCGAGAACAAACAGATTAGTCCATGGTTTACATTCTGGCATAGTAGCTAAACCTCTGTAATTTTCCCCTTTGCCGTTGATGCAGTCAACTAAATAAAACAAATAATATACAGGTGCTTTGAAGGTGTATTACACAAGAACTTTTTTATTATAAAAATGACAAAACTGAATATTCAACTAGCTCGAAAACAACAAAATAAGTATATAAATAAAAGTCATCAAAGTATGATATCAATAATTTTCGTTAACATTCATTTACATTATGTAAGGAGAACGGATATATAACATTAAAACTATACATACCAAAATACCTAACTCAACGACATTGTGGTCATAATAAATAATAAACTTCAGAAATTATAACAATTATTTCAAAAACTTCTTCACAAGTTTATATCCAAAGCTGTTCATTAAGTGCATTGACTTAAATAAAATACTTTAAACTCCAAAACAGTATATCTTAATCCCCACAGATATAACACAGGTACAGGTGAAAGAATTAACTAAAAAGGAAAATCATAGATTTTATGTGCTGGATCGAATTTCTAACCGAACTACTAATTTATATTGAAAATTAGATTTCCAATACGACCAAATCTACATCTCAAGATGTGACTAAACTTGAAAATCCTCTACAAGCAGCTGCCAGTCAGAAAGTATTCGCTGAACGACCGAAAAAAAAACATATACACGATCATTTCAAGAGTAATATTCACGTCCATAAGATCCAAGCTCTATCTACGGGTTAAAAATATTGTGATTATTCTGCGAAGGATAGTTTCCAACCTACACAGATTGAATTTGAAAATCTTATTAGTGAAAAGCATGATCTGTTTAACGTTTTCTTTCGAAATGTATTGCGCAAATATATCACATAATTCTGATAAACTTCGTTTTCTCATTGCATTATCGAAGTTTTCTTTAGAATTATAACATTCTAATTTGACGGCGTTTTTGAGTTTATGAAAACAAGGCTGGAAAATCAATTTAACTAAAAAAGCACTCATCAGTTATAATGCATTAGAATGAACGGGAATATCTTACTAATCCGTCCGGATAAAGGAACAGAAATAGAACCAAAAGATCATAGCTAAGTAACCATTTGAATCTCTATACTATTACTGTTGAAAAAGTATTAACTAATCAAGTTACTGCCACTTTTCATACATATTTTTCTTATTCTGAGATTCTGTTGTCGGTGACAAGTAAGGAATTAAATTAAAAATGAGAAACCGGGGACCTTTTTAACGGAATAATTTGAGTAAGTAGTACATTTGTGTTTGTAATTGTTTGATAAATATATGAGTCTATAGAAGAATAGAAAGAGATTACATGACAAAGTGATCCTACATTTGAAATGTTTAGAGAAGTTTGCATAGTAATCAAGAGGTTACTGAAGAACGGGAGAATGACAGTAACCACTTGTGCACTACTAAGGTGTTGACAATTTAAAAACTCAAGTCTGAACTCCACGAGGCACCTCTCGTCCTTCCATGTGCCCAATCCCTCTCTGCAGTGAAGTCCAAGTCTTGTTTTTCTTTACATTCTTATTTTGTACTTTTAAACCGTAATCAGTTATTATAATTATTATCAGTATGGGGGTTGTGGAGATTGTTAAGTTTTTGGTTGAGATCATGAATCAATTGATGTTAGACCACCGTTGGAAACCTGGAAGCACTGGACGGCCGTTTCGTCCTAGTATGGGACTCTTCAGCAGTGCGCATGCACGATCCCGCACCCCGCGGGATTCGAACCCAGGACCTACTGGCTTCGCGCCTGAGCATTTAACCATTAGACCACTGAGCTGGCATCCAATGGTGTTAGTGTCTAACATCAACCAATCCACGAAATTGCGCGACCAACTTCCATTGTACTGAGGTAGATACCTGTCTCTACCCGACACGGATTAGCTCCACTGGTCACGACTTCTCACTGGAACTCCGAGAATTCCCTCACGAAGCTAGTCACTAGTGAGCACATGTTAATTATCAGTATGGGGGTTGTGGAGATTGTTAAGTTTTTGGTTGAGATCATGAATTAATTGATGTTATTATTATTCGCTAACAATTGCTCTTGATTACTATTCAGTTGTTATTAATGTTCTTCACATTTGTTTCTCATTTCTTCATATCTGTTAAATGAACAGTTAACTCACGTATTCCTAATATGTCAATTATTTTCCTCATCTTATTCTTTTCCAACCTCTCGATCGTTACACAACTTTATTTTGGTATTACAGATGTCGGATCACTTTCATCATGTAATTTCTTTCTATTCTTTTATAGACTCATATATTTATCAAATAACTATAAGCACGAATATACAGTTAAATGAAATGATTTCATTGAAAAGAAAATTTTCTTTGATGTTATTTACTAACACAATGTGTTACATTAATTAGCGTTAGATAAGATTGGAACTAAAGCTTTTGACAGTTCTTAACATAATCATGCCAATTCCAGCTATACAGTAAGCCCAGCCAGTATTAAATGATTTTTAGATAGATAGATAGATAGAAAAACCAAGTCATTCATTTCAGTAAAGAATCAGTCAATGCACGTAAAATGTTGAATTCATGTGACTACTTCATAGTATCAATAAGCTACATAAATTTCTATTTAATTATCTCAAGCGATTAAAAAGTTAAATTCCGTTAAATATTCAAGTATATAATAAATAAACAACTATATACGAGTGCACAACGTTTATTATCAATAATCATCTATTAGAAAGAACAATATTAGTTAAAATACATTTGTAAAAAGTGATTATAGCCAAAACAATGCAGTGTTGTAATAGTGTATATCACACACTAGTCATCGAAATAAATAGTGATCTGTCAACAAGCGGTAAATAAAAGCATTAGTTGTTTTTTTTCAGATAATTAGTAAAATTTATAGTTTTTCCCAATCACTTATCAACAATACCGGTAACAACAAAGGAAAGAGATGTTGGATTGAAAAGCAATCTTGTTAATGAACACTTCGATAATCTATATCATGTAGTAAAATATCAAATTATTAACAAGAGAACGGAGATATGAAAATAGCTCATAGTCAAACAGTAAAAGCAAAACTGAAAATACCTGATAATTAATGAGGTATGTTAAGTAAAGATCGTGGAAAATTTTATAGAAAGTATGACAAAAGCATTTCCGTAATTAAAACATAAAAATAACACTCAAGAGGTTAAAACCTGATTAAGGCTTGTTGTTAAATATATTAAAAAAAAATTCGCACTCTCCTTGGAAAATAGAACGCATCAAAACAACAATAACTGATCCAGATCAAACGCGCAACCTACAAAACAATAAAGCCTACGGTAAAAAGTATCTTCACTGTTTCGGTATTGAAATTACATCGTTTTATTAGGCAGAGCATATCGGATGTTCACTTGTAGATTATTCATAAAGATATTGTACTTTGGTATGTCCTGTATGAATTCTACAAATATATGAGAGCCACACCTCACGTTAACACGACGGATACAGAAATCGAGAGGATTAGAATCAAAATCAGTAAAATGGAAAACTGATCACGGGAAATATAATTCAAACAGAACAAATGAGATACATTGTTTCACTATAGAAAATGGGCAGTTATTTAATGAATTAAACTTTTTAACTCAACCACCGGGTGCCTGGGTGTGACCTAGGCTCTAAGTGTGAGGGGTAATAATACTATCCGGTTGCCAAAAACGAAGTAGGTGGAGTGAGGTTCGAACCTCGGGTTTAGTGGCTGAAAGTTGAGCGCCTTTAGCATTAAGTCACCGTTCCACATTAATGAGCTAATGATATATTTCTCATATCAATACGTTACTTAAGAAATCTTATTCACTTCCCTACGTCACAATTATAATGGAAAATCGGACACAATAAACAATGATCTAAGAGGAAAACCATAATCTGGTCAACATTTACTTATTGTTAATAAAACAGATACAAATATTATCAATAAACGAAAGAAATACTATTTATTTCAGTAGACTCTAAAAATTCAACATATTATAGTACATTGAAAAGTTTCTTTCCAAGGCGATTGACCAAACATGCAAAAACTTGTTGAAAATTTAGTAAAGTGACAAAAACTTACCACTTTGTTCATCAGGAGTTTTCTTACTTTCTTCAATGGAATTTGTTGGATTTTCGTTATCAATAGGTAAACGAGTGCAAATAGACTTTCTAGACGGTTCAAAAGACATAATATCACTTTTAGTTGATGAACAAATGTAAAAGGGATTTGATGTCCCACTGGCTAATGGATCGGAGAAACTCAGTGGAAGACTTTGATTTTTGGCTTCCGGCACATTGATCAGTTCTGACCAACCCGTTTTTACAAAATCAGAATTCATTAAAGATTCATTCCGATGAATGTCGAGAAGTCTATCCAAGGCTGAATTATTCAAGATTTTTAACGAGGAGAAGCAAAATAGGCCTGTAACAGCGAGACAATGTTTCCTGTTTTACGAAGACGATAGAATAGATGTTTACTAAATTACAGCACAAAATAGAAACTATAAACAATCTACAGATAGCTCTTTAAAACAAAAATTCAAGTTGAAAAAATATACTGGACTTGTCACTTCCAACGACTACGTGTTCCTCAGCTAGCGGTGTGTGTTGAAACGAAATAGGCTCTTAATGAGACAAAATAAATTCTTTACAAGATATTTAATGAATTAACTAATGGGAAGGCGGGGCAAGTAACAAACTACTTGTTAGTAGGTGGACAAATCGTTAGAAATTTCCTTTATGTCAGTAAATTAGGTCTTTTCTGTGAACAATGAAAAGTTATTTGAGGGGAGGTAATTCAACGATAAATTCATTTGCCCTAATAAGTTTTAAAACCAAATAATCAGTTGAAAATCTCTTACAGTGTAAAATATAGAAAGGTTTTCTATGCCAGACCTGAGAATATAGCTATTATTTTTAGAACAACAAACAAAATAGAAACTGTTCCAGTCAGTCGGTCGTCATCAACGTAGGATATGTTTAGGAAGCTTTATCTATTCAAGCAGGTATAATATCAACACGAGATGAGAAGCAAGAGAGGAATTAACTTAATCTGAGATGAAAATCGACAAGAGCCAATAAATTGAAATTGAACCGTATCAACTATTTAACTATAGCTCCACAGCGAAATTACAAAAACACAGGATTCCGTTCAGTAAAAAAAGGAGAAACTAACAGTAAAAACCAACATGTGCAAGGTAAACAGAGTCGAGAGAAAATAAACGAAATGAAAACACGAATGGTTAAACTGTTTATTTTGTCATAGCTTTATCTAAATAGATCATATCAAAGGTCACAATCGTTCACAAATAATTGTTTCAGACTTTTTTAAAGTAACTATTACACGCAATTACCGTACAGCTATTGCAAGAACTAAACAAACTTAACAACGTATAGCTTAAAAATTTACCATATAATGGTTAAATAAACTCCTTCAGTTTAAAGTACGTTCATGCTAAATACTTAGAGTACTCTAAAAGTATTTACGATTGGTATGCGGAATTTTAAATTCTCAGATGACAACGTATAAATTGTTAAAACAAACACTTCGTCAGTAACAATGTGACTCTATATAAACCGTAGATTGGACAAATTAACACTTTTTCTAACAATATTTTAAGTCGACAATATATTTGTTGCTAAACCCTGCAGTGTTGTTGTCTGGTTTAACTAATTTAATCTTCATCTGTCCCGTACTAAGTATAGAGCCTAACTTTAGATTTGAGATAGAAGTTAGAATTGGAAAATTGATCATTAATACTTCAGTAAACTTCATGTGGGTAGTTTTATAATATTTCTGTTGATATGTCTAGCAGTGATTTTACTCTAGGAACAGCTAAAGACATTTTTTCAAATTTACTAGTTCTAGGAATGTTGTCGTTCCTGATTCACTTTGTGGAACATGTATTTTAATTAGTTTATTATTATCCCAACCGAAGTTGCTACCTTGACGCGGTGGTCGGGCTTGCCTATCGTGATGACCCAACCGAGGTATATTGGCTGGAACATATGTTCCTGTAGGTTCTACCATGCCAGGCAGGTCGATTGGTGAACGGTAAGACTAAAAGCAGCAACTCAAGGTCTGAGGGCGAAGTCGTACTGCTGACTGTAGAGGGGTGTGACAGCAGTAAGGTGTTTCCCTCAAGGAAGGGTGGGGTTAGAAAAGATCAACCCTAAAAATGTCACACTTCACCTTGCCTCACGGATTTCCGTCTCCGGCGGTCAGGCCCTTTGAAGAACGGAGCTAACACGTCAAAAACCTTCCGCAAAAAGGCCGTGCGCGACCGGCCTCAAGCAGTTGTCCCTTGAGCTCTGCGGTCACGCTCCCAGGTCGTTAAGACCAACACTAATCCAATTTCCTTTTCAGGTTCCTCAAGAAATAGCCTTCCACGGTGTGGGCAGCCGGGATGTGATATCAGCCCTCATACCCGTAACAGCACATGAGACCAAGTTGGTCACATCCAAATCCTTCCTACACCTAATACCTCTCTTATCTCCATGACTAACCCTCCTCACGTCTCTTTATCACCTCGCACCGTTAGGGAAAACGATACGAGTACGCGGAACACTATTCCTGGTCTCCTGAAACCACGCTCTAAACTACATGTAGGAACTTTAAACGTCCGAACACTGTGCCAAATAGGACAGCAGGCTTCCTTAGCTAGGACTTTAGAATCCCGCGCTATCGATGTGTGCTGCGTCTCCGAAACGCGCATACAGGATCCAAGTAGCGTGATTTATTTGACCTCACCATGCCAAAATAAAGAACAGACTCGATTTACGCTTCGTGTATCTGGAAGCCCTGATTCTGCCTCGCCGGCGTAGGTATAGCATTGAGTCCTAGGGCAGAACTAGCTCTCGTAGAGTGGATCCCAGTAGACAGTCGTTTGTGCGCTGTCCGACTGAACGGAACAGTAAGAATCCGGAAAGATAGGGACACTCGTCGTTGCCCTTTCGTCGTCTCTGCCTACTCTCCCACTGACTTCAGCTCAGATGATGTAAAAGATGAGTTTTACAGAAAGCTCTTCGACCTCCTCCGAAAAGCTAGGCGCTCGGATGTAGTAATAATGGCCGGTGACTTTAATGCTCAAGTAGGTAAACTAAGCGAAAGGGAAAGACACTTAGGTGGATCTTATAGCATCGTGGCTCAAAGAACGGATAATGGCGACCGTCTGTTGCAGCTATGCTCAGATAACCGCCTGTTCCTTGCAAATACTAACTTTAATCATAAGGAAAAACATCTTTTGACATGGCGACCCCCTAATTCGTTCCAACGTTGGACCCGAATAGATCACATCGCTATCAGCCACCGGTGGAGGGGCTCGATAGAAGACTGTCGCTCATTCTGGAGCACATGCTTAGATTCGGATCATGCTCTAGTACGAGCGCGTATTTGCCTGCGTCTTACTGGGCGTAGGAAAGACGCTGCAAGTAAACCTTTTAGGGGCCTACTTAATGATAGTCAAGCTAAGAGTATATTTCAGGAACAACTAGAAAAACACTTAGGTAGCCATGTGTGTGATCCCCACCCCGAGGCAGCACGGAATGATATCCGAAAAGCTCTGGAAACAGCAGTGATATCTGCTAGTAAGGTAAACTACAAGATTAGGGAGAAACACTGGATCACAGCAGCATCTATAGCACTGATAGATGCTCGGAAACTCATTCCACCTAGCTCTGAAAATAATAAAGAGCGGAGTCAGCTTAAGCGCAAGCTGACAAGAAGTCTACGCAATGATCGTGAACAGTGGTGGCTAGCGAAAGCAAGAGAGATGGAAAAGACAGAGGCAATAGGTAATAGCAAACAATTGTTCAGACTTGTTAAGGAAACCGACTGTTGGCGAAACAATCTCAGAGAAAGATGGACATATTATTCATTCTCAATCCAGGAGATTGAATCGATGGGCAGATCACTTTAGGGATCAGTTCAACTGGCCTTCAGCCACACTTCGGTTTCCCACGATCTCCAGTCAACCTGAATGGCAAGTTAATGTCGGTCCTCCGTCTCTTTATGAAGTCGAAAAAGCTATAGGAAATCTGAAACGAGGGAGAGCAGCAGGCCTTGACAGGTTTACTTCTGAGATTTTTAAGAATGGTGGTCCAGTATTAACAGTGAGATTAACTGAAGTCTTAGGTAGAATTTGGGAACTGGACGTAATCCCATCTGACTGGTCTCAATCACTGATTGTGCCAGTCTATAAGAAAGGACAAAAGTCCTCTTGTGACAATCACAGGAATCAGTTTTTTCTCTTTCCAAATGTATTTCACTGGTTTATACTCCTCAAATAACATCTTCAAACCCTAATTTTTCTGATTACAGGTTATAATTTTACATCTAGCACTACGGGATTTGAATCGAGCACTGCATCTCTGTGCTAATGTGGTGTGGCAACTCAAACTGATGTACGTACGTACGAAGTTCTACGTTGTTACTGACTGAGTTTATTATTATTTAGCTGTTATACTATTCATATGAGAACTTCCATGGACATATAATCATAATTATTGATATTTTAGGTCTATCCTATGAAAGTTAACAGTAAAATCAAGTTTGGGGAATCAAGTACCTGGGGCATTTAGCTACGACTGTAACAAAGCAACATCAATAAATGCAATATCTTCTCGACCAAAACTCATTGAAATATTTACAATATTTCATCTCGGTATACTGGTTTTATCCTGAGGATATGAAATTGTTATCAATGTTAGTTTAAGGTCACATTTTTAAAAATGCATGTGAGTTTATGAAGTTTATAATAATTGATGGGGCAATACTTTAATCTTTATTTGTTGTGTTCAACTAGTATTCCATAGACTGGAGAAAAAAGGTTACTTCAACCGAGAAATTCTGAGCAGTTCTTTTTCAAACGATTAGCATCCAGGTCAATTTACACACTACACAATCTCAGTAAATTCGAGTCTGACCGTAATATGAGTCGTTTGTCAAGCACAGGATTATGTAAACTTCGAAATATTTTGTTTGACTAACGATCTTCGCCAGCTGATTAGGTAGTGATATGCATATGATTGAAAATTAAGAACTCCAAAGACTAAGTCTAAATGTGAGCACATTTACGATACAATAATTCACTTTTCTAGATTTTGATTGCAGTCTATTTGATTTATCCTTACGATTTCAAACTAGTTGGTGAAAAGCTTGAAACCCATTTCACTCATAGTAAATTTGAGGAGGCTAGTTACTGAGGTTAATTTATTATCGATGAAACGGTATTGTTCACTAGTTTATTTTCTTTGCAAACCTGTGTTTTTCACAAATACATTTTATTCAAAGAACAAACAAGTATATTATTCATAACCAGCTTATAATTAACAAATCAATAACAAAAAATAAACTTCTACAAAGATTTAACTAAACAATAAGCTACTTATAAATAACTTACAAACAAACAGGATATTCAATATATGAATTGGCAAATACAGATGTTGATTTTCTATCAGTGTTAGTAATTTCACATCGAGGATAAGATGTAGCACAAGTTAAATGCTTAGCCAAATTAATACATCTCCATGCAGCGCTACTACTATTAGATAAACTTATCGCATCTACAACATGATTTGATTTTATAAAAGATGTATTTGAACTTTTAAAAGAATCACTGAGATAATTATCAGATTGAGATAAATGCATTGAAGATGATAATAAATCATCCCAGCTGGTAAACAGATTTTTAACAGCTTGATTACTGATTTCATTGGAATATAAACGAGATCGTGAAATTAAATAAGGTTCTTTGTATTCATTAGCAATATTTTCTATAAATGGATAACATACGGAGGATTTCGGTAAAATTGTAGAATACGACTGACAATAAGAATGTCTGAAAGTAGAATTTAAAAAATTTAAGTATTTGAATCATTTCATTGAGAAATATATTTATCTCAACTACGTGAAATTAATATTTGAGGTATAGAATGAAAAATCTCTGACATTGTTCAATACTACAGTCAATTTCCATTTGATCAATAATAGAAAACAATGAAACAAAAATAGATCTTGACAAATTTATGATGATTTATTATTAACCACCCTTTCAAATCATTAACAGATCCTATTGGAACATAGTAGAAAATAATAAAGTAATAGCTTGCACAACTTAGGAAGTAATTAAGTTACTGGTCTTGTTTTGAAGAGTTCTTAAGTAGATGTACACTAAAACGATTTATTATGTGAAACAATGGGTAATATGAGTTTTGGAATATGATAAAATGGAAAAACGAAGTATCAACAGTTGCTTTGTGGTTTTCCTCTTCACCTTTGACTGATTATTTGTTGTAAATCATGATATCTTGAATGAATAATTTTGCATACGAATAACTGTGTTAATTCCTTGATATATTCAGTAAAGCATGCCTATGGGTATGCCTCCTGACAAGTCATCAATTGGTTCAGATGCTCGATTATCAATTCAGCTACCTTAATCATCTCAATAAGTTATAAATCTTCATACACATAGTTCCCTTTTTCATTTTGAAAAGAGCAAGAACAAACATTCTAGCAGAATGGCATAAATTCATTTTTATTTCGTTGGTTGTCGTCAGCCTCTTACAACCTGTGATATTTAAAAGCATAATTACATAATGGGTTTAAGTTACTTACTTACTTAAACTCTTTCTTGCATTTATCACATGATTGGGTTTTATCCCAACTATCTTCCAAATGATTAACCTTATTTTATCAACTGAACTCTACTCATTTTATTCCTATCAATGTTTACTTGTTTCTAGCCGTTTGAACTGTTGTCACAATCAATGTTGTAGATTGTTCTTTTACATAAGGTATATATTTACAATATTCAGCCTATTAAATTTATTTACACCCTTGCTAAACTATACTAATATGTCTTCAATATAACTCCAAACTAAGCCATCTCATGTAAGTACTTTAAACCCATTATGTATTTATGATTTTAAATATCACAGGTTGTAAGAGGCTGATGACAACCAACGAAATAAAAATGAATTCATGCTAGTCTGCTAGAATGTTTGTTCTTGCTCTTTTCAAAAGTTATAAATCAATTGCAATATCATGACAAAATACCAAGATTGCGGTCACCAATAGGTTACCCAATGTTGATTTGGAAGTGGTGAAAACTATTGATTATTTTGGATTCAATCAAATTTGAGAAAGTAGAATTCCAACTCTGAATATTTAAAATATCACCATATTTAACAAATTATTGAATTGTATTAAAATATACTACGAGCCTATTTAATTGAAAAATAGGCCCAGTTCATTTCAACCATATACTATTTTTCTTGGAATTATCGATTACTATAATCGATGTTCCACCATTTATGCAATTTAGTATTATAAACTGTCAACTTACGATATTTAAACCTTGACGCAAAACCAGAATATGATTAAACAACAAAGATATGTAATTTAATTTAGATATCATTAGCAAAGTATATATCAGTCAGTCAGTCAGCTACAACGTAGGACCAGTCACATTTATGCATCGGTCCAAGTTGCCATACCTCATTAACACAACAAGATGGACACCGGATTCATAAAAGTAGTTAATTCAGAGGTGGTAATATATAAAAGAAAGATTGCAATAAGGATATAGTACAGGAAGAAAGAATTAGTTCGGAGAAAGAAAGATATGAAGCAATTTTAATCTCTTAGTTTAAGGGAAGACAAAGAGTGTATACACCGACACCATTGTGATCGATTCTGAGCCATGTAACCAAGAGTCTCCAACCATTGGTTACGATAGTCACGCGGACCCCAACCAAGTAGTCTGCATCTACCAACATGGCTCAGACTAGAAATTAGTGACTTCAAGCACTGATGCCATGTTTTGGTTTGGCCGCCCCTAACTTTCTTCCAACCATCTCAAACACCGGTTAGCATTGCACGTCGTGGTAATCGGTGTTTGGGCATACGTAACATGTGGCCCAATCATCTCAGTCGCTGAAGATTCACAACCTCATCAACTGATTTACCATCATTCCCAAATACCCTGCGTCTAACCTCACTATTACTTACCCGGTGATCCCAGCAATATTTCTGAGGCATCTGTGGTCAAATACTAGTAGCTTACGAGTGTCATCTACTCTTAATGGCCATGTTTCGCTGCCGTAAATTAAAACAGAACGGAATACCGCGCAGTATACTCGTCCTTTTATTGATAAACGGATATCTCGCCTTCGCCATAGGTGACGTAAGTTGGCAAAAGCCAAACGAGTTTTTCGAATCCGTGCTGAGATTTCGTCAGACACCAACCCATTAGGGCTGATCAGACTTCCAAGATAAGTGAAGTTGTCAATGCGTTCGACTACTTCACTCCCTATCCTTAGTTCAGGTGTTGACGCAGACTAATCCTGAAGCAACAACTTGCATTTAGAGGGAGAGAAGCGCATTCCAAACATTCTGGCATTGTTGCTTAGTGCTACTAGAAGACTGAATTTTATCAGTGTCTTCACCAAACAGGACTATGTCATCTGCGTATTCTAAGTCGATAAGTGGACCTCCTGGAAGGAGACCAATACCCGAGAATTCAGCAGACGAGAATGTTATTTCCATCAGTAGGTCTATGATGAAGTTAAACAAAAATGGAGAAAGTGGACAGCCTTGTCGGACACCACTTGACGTTGCAAAAGCAGATGACAGTTTGCCATAAGCTGTTAAAATTAAAATTGTTTTATGCAGATATCTGTTTTAGGTTAGATCTAATAAAAGTCAGACAAGTAAATATAAGCAAATATCTTTCGTTCTCAATTACTAACACTTCAATTAACATAACAAAATAGTGAAGAGCAAAGCAATTGAAATAATATCATTGATGGTAAGGAGAAACTAATTTAGTAAATTTCGATAGTGGCATCTATTAAATATTTTGAGTTAACAGATAAAATAAGTTTAATATTATTTGTCAAAAAGTGACTTTTATTATTTTTTTTTATATGTTCATCATTGTTTTGTAATTCACATTGTACATTGACCTACTGTCTACTTTCAACTATTAGATTAAATTAAAGGTAAGCTGTTAACAGAGGACATAGATATTTGTCTATAATATGAAAAAAGAAAATCATAGATACCTTTGTTTATCGAGTTCAAGTTTATGAACAGTTTTGAGTCACATTTTTTTGTGTATATTTTAAGTGAATCCTACTCAAATTGACTTTAGATTATGTTGATGCTTTACAAAAATTCTGAAACAAACCCATGACTTCATAATGTGATCGAATTAAAAATTCAGTTTAATATAATTTGACCTTTAAAAGTACCAAAACATTTGTCTGATATAAATTTTAGTGTTATCATTATTACAAGTAAATCGCAAACAAAAAGACATTTCGTTTATTTGAATGAATATAACATTTAATAACACTAAATCATTTAAACAAATCAGTAAGAAACGATATTTCTATGAAACAGAATGAACTATTTATTAAGTAAAGAAAAAAATCAGTCACAACGTAAAACGTAAACGAATAAACATCGGTTTTAAGTTGGCATACCCCAATAGCACGGAAATACAATTGTTCAGACAAAATTACGAAGTAGAGTTAGTAATAGTATGAGTGGTAATAGGAAAGGTTAGGCATCGAAGATACGATTCTAGGAAATGTAAATTAGTGAGATCAAAACAAAAAACAATACGAGGAATCTAGAATTTGGAGGAGGACAAAGAATGGATGCACCTGCACCATTGCAGACGATTTTGAGCCATGTCATTTAAAGTCTAGAATCATTGGGTATGATAATCACACGAACCCCAACCAGGTACTCTATACCTATCAACATAGTCAAGTTCAAATATCAGTGACTTCATGGAATGATGCTGTTTTGGTTTAGCCACTCCTACCGGTGGTTGGGCATACGTAACACATCCCAAAAACCTCAGTTGATGAAGATTCATTACCTCATTAATCAATTCACCATCTTCACCTAATACCCTATTCCCAACCCAGGCTTTGGTTACTTACTGGTCTCAAAATGCATGAGAGATACCTCGAAGATGCCCATGATCAAATACTAGTAACCTAAAAATATCTTTTATTTTTAATGGATACGTTTCATATCCATAACGTAGAACAGAGAAAACCACCGCGCAATAAACTCGCCCTTTGGTTGAAAGACGGATATCTTGCCTACACTACAACTAATATAAGCAGGCAGAAGCCAATTAAGCTTTCTCATTCCGTGCTGAGATTTCGTCAGACATCAGACCCTTGATACTGATGAGACTCTCAAAATAAGTGAAGAGGTCGATACGTTAATATACTTCACTCCCTACCACTAATACAAGCGATGACCCAAGTCAATCTTGAAGTAATATTTTACACTTGGAGGGAGAGGATCGCATCCCGGACATGCTTGGAATGTTGTTTAAGGTGGTCAGAAGACTGCATTTTGCCAGCGTCTTCATCAAACAGGACTATGTCATCTGCGTGTTCTAATTCATCATGTGAATCTCCTGGTTGAAGACCAATCCTTGAAAAGTCAGGCGATAAAAGTTATTTCTAAAAGCGTGCCTGCGGCAAAGTTAGACGAAAATGCGGAAAGCGGGCAACCCCGACAAACACCATTTGAAGCAATCAATTCAGACGATAGTTCACTCGACCTGAAGTGTGTGAGTAGAGAACCTGTACCGGGTTAGTGTACTTCTTTGTTACATCTTTCAATGTCAGACACTACCACAAAACCTCATGATCAACGGAGTTGAAAGCCGGCGTCCAGGTCTAAAACCAACCTAGTTTTCCCGAGTTCGCTGTCCACAAGATCTAGTTAGATTTCGAAGTATTATTGTGGCTAATATTTTAGACACTGAATTAGTTAAATTGCTTCCTCTGTGATTGTCACAAGAAGTAAGTAAATGAACACTTAAATAATCAAACATTTGAAATAGAACAACTCAAGTAGAAATTTCAGCTCTCGAATGTAACATCGGTTATACATTGGAGATAGAGAGTAACCTTCATTTACAACTGATTGGTCAATGAGTAGGGATCGATGTCGTGTTTCTCAAAACCTTCTTAGTGTTCATCAAATTCTGTCAATCAAGTTGTAATGTGTTCACTAGTCTAACTTGCACTATTCTGAGATGTAGGATAATGGTTTAAGGTAGTTGACACGGTTTTCTGTCGACTACCTCAGATCATCACCACCTTACAGTAACTTTCTTATAGCGCTACATCGATGATGAACATCTAATTAACTCAACATGTGAATACGTCAATCTAGATACGAACATTTTATGAGACTCATATGTTTGTGTTATTGAATATTCTTTTAGTACTAATCTCCACAAAGTTTATGTATTTATTTAAATTACAAAAAAGTTGTAGAATGATAATCTAGTTTTCCTTGGACTCCAAAAATCCAATTAATACATATCAATATTTATGATAATAAAAAAGAAACTAAAACTGACCGATCTGAAACTCCGTGTTTGATTCCCCAAGCTTTAGAATCTAAAATTTTAAAAAATAAACGGTAAAATCTCTTAATTTGTATGTACATTTCCTTTTTTCTGTAACTGAAGCAACTCAAATAACTTTATAGCATTTACTTAAAAAAAAACAAGAAAAAACTAAGAATGAGACTGAGAAGAAAAAGTTTAAAGCGATTAATCACGAGATTTAATATGAATATAAAATTGTTTTTTGGAAAAATACATTAGTAAACTGACCAGGACGAACTGTAATGTAGGCCAAATCATGCACCATACCCAAGGAATTCTGAACTTTACACTCCACAATTGAATCTTCGGTAATGTTATGTTCCATTTCAACAACAATCTTAAAGTCATAAAAAAGAGTTATCAGGATACTTTAGTGGGTGAATACTTTTTGGACGAGATAATTATATAATATTTAGGTATATGTACAATAATTCGATTAAATAGAGAAAATATACAATATCTAATGATTAAACAGTGCATTAGATTAAGTTTTGAATATGCTTTTCATCATCCCAATAAATCAGAACACAATAACACCTGATGTAGATCTTCATCTGCACCGTTTGTCATTATTATATTTAAAAACTTGGGAAACTAAAATTTAATACAAAAAGGCGTTTTTAAATTTTTAGATCATCTGCGCAATATGATAAAATCAAGACATTACACTGCAACGAAACACTTGTCATAGATAATATTGGTCTTATCGGGATGTCGGGTTTTTGTATTTTAGGTCAATTAGAAAATCATATTACACTTTTCCTGAGAATATGTCTCGAAAGACACCCCAGTAAAATCAAACATTTTGCCGGAAATGAATTTACTGCAAAGCAAATGTTCACTCATATACATATTTATACACTGGTTCGAAAAGTAATGCATCTTTTGAAACTACAAATATGTATGAGAGTAATAGATAAGACTACGAAAACAATTCGTTTTCAAGTAAGGATGAATTCTGATCAAAAAATCGTACTCTGACACAGTTCTTGCTATCGCACTGTAGTAAAGATTCTCGTACTAAATAAATGGGATGTTTAATCAGTAAATGAAAATATAATTTAAAAACGGATGAAAATTAACTACCTGGAATGTGTAAACAAATAGTTTAGGCGTTTAACATTGAAGAGACACAATATTTGATATTTTCAGAATGGAGTTGTAGAGATCGTTGAAATCATGAACTGATCTAAATTATTATTGAAAACCTAGAAGTACTGGGTAGCTTTCTCATCCTAGTGTGGGACTCCTGGGCAGTGCGCATCCACGACCTTGCGGCTCGAGATCAAACCTCTGTGGTCATGTGACTTAGGTGTATTCATAATTTCAATGCAATTCAACAAACTCCACAACCTCATACTGGGAACTATCATGTCCTGACTAGTGACGAGCTTTGAGAGGAAAGTTCCGGAATTCTAGTGAAGAGCCGTGACTAGTGAAGCTAATCAGTGTTGGGTGTGAGGCAGTTACCCATCGAAGAAAATCGAAGATGGTCGCGCAATTTCTTGAATTGATGTCAGACATTAACACCGTTGGATCCCGTCTTACTGGTCTATACGTTAAGTGTTCACGTGCCAAGTTGAGGGTCCTGGATTCGACCACAGGATGCGGAGTCGTTAATGTACAGTGTCAAGGAGTTCGATACAAAAACGATACGGTCATCCAGTACTTCAAGATTTTCAATGGTGGTATAATTTAAATCAATTCATGATTTTAATAAAATATTTGATAAGATGTATGTACACAAGATAAAAGTAGGAAGATTATCTGAATTCAACATTGTGATTTACCTGATTATTGAGTATCATTGTATTCTCTCTAGGATCAGTCCCTCCAAAAATGCACGGGAATCTGTAGATAGACCCCCAGTCTACAGTAGCATTATGCACTGTCTCTGCAAGAAATGCTTTAACTGTTAAAAAAAGATAAACAAGTCGAAGTGCAAGTAAGGCTAAAAAACTACAAATGATTATGATATATAATTAAACAAATTAGATCTCAAGTGAGTAATCAGAGATCAATCAGTCTCTACTGACAACTTTAATAACCACCTTCTGTAAACAGACATCAAACTTACTGATTCGCATTTCTAGTATGACAATGTATATAAATTGAGACTGTTGAGGAAAGTAATGAACCTAAGACAGTAGCTTTCCTTAGCAGTACTTAAAATACATATCGTTGATGACCTAACAGTCAGGTGCTTGAGTGTATGGAAAAGGCCTTGTTACATTACTTCTGAAATTTAAGCATCCGGAACTGACAAAAATGATCACTCTGTGTAACTTTTATAAAATAATCATTTTTGACAAGTATAAACTCTGAGAGCACGAAGACACTGTCTGAACTGACAATCACTGGAATAAAACTTACAATTAACTGAACGGATCACAAACGAATTTCGAGATGCATAACTGTCGGACATGCTAAAACCATGACTAAATCAACAAATATTGTGTATTACATTTGTTAGATTACTCATTTTACTTGGACTGAGGGATTAGCCAATTGTTTCCCTGTACTTGGATATTTGAACAAACAAATAACTAAGATCGACGTGCGGGCATAAACACAGAAATTAATAATCATATTGAATCCCGTTGGGATATTTCAATGCCCTTACAGTACCATACAATCATTTAACGAACTCCATAAAACAAAAAGAAAATAAGTGGGAATTTCGACGAAAAGATTAGATAAACATTAAGTTACACAGTTTATTCATGATAAATAAATTACTGCTGTCAAATTAATTAACAAAAACGGATGAGACTAGTCATGAAACCTTTTTCAGCTGATGATTGAAATAATGGGACCTGTAACCTAGATTATATGCACCTTTTGCTACCCGAGTGGTATACAGATTCATCATTTTTCAAAATTAAGATAGGCAAAAATTCCATTTACTGCCAAAAGTGACTGTTCTAAAGATGATGTAGTTAAAAAATAAATTCGGATATTAAAAAGGGAATAAATGAAGTAGGAAAAATACTCCAAGAACTGTAATTCAACTATTTTACTCATTTTCTTGTAAATAAAAGCTCCGGGCCAGAATGTCTATTGAAGTACTACTACCAAATAATTCTTGTCTTCCATTTCGCCCCAATCCTAAGTAACCATTGACATCTCAACAGAATAAATGGAATTAAATTCATTCAGATTTTCCAGTATATGATTAAATATGATTCAAGAAGTGAGTTCTTATTAAGGATCTAGGTTTACTATAGAGATCATAAATGTCTACCATACATGTAAATAATATTTTACAAAAAAAATAATTACTTAATGCTAACAGGCTACTTATCAGATGATCTTAAACATACACAAATATTACATACCTATTGGTACGAAGTTGTACACAAAAATAAGAGATGAGTCATTCGTGCCGTTCGGATAAGAATTGTACGAACGACAGCTAAATATTCTATCTGCATTTTCCATTCGAAGTCGAAAGTCTATACTTCCATTAGAGTGCATAGTAACATTATGTGTAGCAAATTCCATTGGTTTTTTGTTGTCGAGCCACTCATAAACACGGTATTTACTGTCCCCGATTCCACATGACAAAACAACACGGTCACCTACAGGTGCCGATATCAATTTGTATTTTGGTTTTGATGTTTCAGTACATGAAAGCGAACAGAAATATACGAACACTGAAAAAAAAAGAAAAAGAGTAAGCGAAAGCAACATAAATTTGAAGGTAGTTGACAATTAACTTCGACTTAATTACATGCTGTTGTGTTTTGGGAGTATGCGAAAAACCGAAGAACTAGACAAATTCAGAAGTTAGAAAAATCACTCTTTTGTGAGTCGTTAATTTTGAACTAAATGAACCATGAGAATGAAGGCCGAAAAGTGTAACTTGACAATTTCAGTAAACTACTTTGAGGTGAGTACTTGAAGTTTTAATGGAAAGTAGTGACTCGTGAAGTTTGGACATATCGAGAGCGAGACAATCATTGCCTATGTCATAAGAGGGTTATAAACTGATGTAAGTTGGAAATAAATATAATTTTGTCCAAACCTACTAATATGATGATTAGGCGCTTGAGATGGAGCCTGAATTGTCATGAAACGAATATTTTGAAAGTTGGAACTGACTCATCGAATTATTAATCATGATTTTTTTATATAATTACATATCGTAAGGTTTCGGTTGAGCCATTAACTACTGTTATACAACTTACTATTCTTAATTTGTTCCCAGTCTCCTCTATTCACAGCCACTTTTAGCTTGTTCATTTGTAATTGTTATTTTTCATTTTCTGGTGTGACACAGTCTGCTTTGTCTGTTTGAGATATAAATAAAGTAGACGCTGGTTGCTGACTACTGAGCTCAAGGCTGGAGACAGAGAGAAGCTGGCGAACAGTGTAGTAACAGGAGCCTAGCTGTCAGCACAAGACCGACAGTGCTGGTCGGACGTGTAATTGACCAAGTCACAGACACTGAGCTACAGTGTAAATAATAGGCCGAATTAGGACCAAGATTCGGTATGTGATTTTCATCAGCGGTCGCAAGACATAACATGAAGGTCCTAGAATAGATTTTTGAGGGTCATGGTTGTGTACTTCTGGGCCCCATACGAGAAAGAGACAGGTAATCAGAGTTCCTTGGTTTTTAGTGGTACTCCGATTGAGGTAAATTTGTGACGAATACTGCTTATAAATTAAAACGATCTCCATGATATTCTTCGAAATTTATATACTTTGCACACCAATGAAATATATAGATCAAAACGACGAAGTACAAAAAACATTCAATGGGTTGATAATTATAGGTATTCGGATGCGTTAGTCTCAAATAACACCCAAGAATCACCAACAGATATTAACAAAGCTACGGACTACTTAAAAGGCGTTAATCAATCACCTAAGGCATACTCTTTACAACTTAGCGTTAATCGTGTTAAACGACAGTGACTTTTGTCCTCCAAAGATAATCCACAATCCTACAAATAAAAGCAGAAAATGTCTGTTATAAGCTATCAGAAAGAACATTTTCCCAGTATTATACCCCAGACCGTTATTGCTACCTTGACGTGGTGGTCGGGCTTGCCTATCGTGATGAAGCAATTTAGCTATACTGGCTGGAACAACCGTTCCTCAAGGTCCTACCATGTCAGACAGGTCGGTTGAAGAGCAGAAAGACTAAAAGCAACAAACCCAAGGTCCGAAGGCGAAGTCGTACTGCTGACTGTAGAGGGGTGTGACAGCAGTAAGGTGTTTCCTTCAGACAACCAGTATGACAGCGATGCTGCCTTCTCACAAGGAGGGGTGGGGTTAGAAAAGGTCGACCCTAAAAATGCACACCTCGCCTTATCCCACGGATATCCGTCTCCGGTGGTAAGGTCTCAACAAGTACGGAGCTAACACAAAAATCACTCATAAAAAAGTCGTGTGTGATCGACCTCGAGCAGTTGTCCCTTGGGCACTGTGTTCAAGCTCTCGGGTCACTAAGACCACCTCTAATCCAATTTACCTTTCAGGTACCTCCAGAACAACCCTTCCACGGTGTGGGCGACCGGGAAGTGATAACCGCCCTCATACCTCTAACAGCACCCAAGACCACTGTATTCATAGTCAACCTCCGTCTTCACTTCCTATTATTCCTCCTACATCGACTTTCACCTCTAAACTTCCTCCTCAAGTGTCACCATAGCCAACGATTCTAGTGCTCAAAACACTGTCCCAGGTCTACTGAAACCTCGCTCCACACTACACACTGGAGCCTTCAACGTACGCACCCTATGTCAAATCGGTCGACAGGCTTCCTCGGCTAGAACCCTAGAATCTCGTACCATCGACGTATGCTGTGTCTCTGAAACACACATACAGGATCCCAGTGTGGTCATTTACTTGACCTCACATAGCCAAAACGGAGAGCCAATGAGATACACACCCCATTTATCTGGTGACCCGACGGCCAGCTCTCGTGGACTGGCAGGTCTAGGCATAGCACTAAGCATGAGAGCGGAGCAAGCACTGTTAGAGTGGATCCTCGTTAACAGTCATTTATGTGTTGTTCGGCTAAACAGCTCCGTAAGAACTCGGAAGGATAGGGACATACGTCGTTGCCTTTTTGTCGTTTCTGCCTACGCTCCCACTGACTGCAGCTCAGATGAAGTGAAAGATGAATTTTACAGAAAGCTATCTGAACTTCTTCAGAAAGCTAAACGTTCAGAAAAAGTACTCGTAGCAGGTGACTTTAATGCCCAGATAGGTAGTTTAAACCAAACAGAAAGGCATTTAAGCGGGTATTTTAGTATTCCGGCACAACGAACAGATAATGGTGATCGTCGGCCGCAACTGTGCTCCGACAATCGTTTATTTTTAGCAAACACAAATATTAAGCATAAGGAGAGACATCGTCTAACATGGCAACCCTCTACACCAAACCAACGATGGACTCAAATAGACCAGTCCTGGAGCAGCAATTTGCATTTAGAGGGAGAGAAGCGCACCCCAAACATTCTGACATTGTTGCTTAGTGCCACCAGAAGACTCGGCATTTTATCAGCGTCTTCACCAAACAGGACTATGTCATCTGCGTATTCTAAGTCGATAAGTGGACCTCCTGGAGGAAGATCAATACCCGAGAATTCAGCAGACGAGAATGTTATTTCCATCAGTAGGTCTATGATGAAGTTGAACAAAAATGGCGAAAGTGGACAGGCTTGACGGACACCACTTGGGGTTGCAAAACCAGATGACAGTTCGCCATAAGCTCTGACTCGACTAGTAGTGTTCAAGTAAAGAGCCTTCACAAGGTTTATGTACTTCTGAGGTATGCCTTTCAATGACAGACACTACCACAGAATCTCGCGGTCTACCGAGTCAAATGCTGCCTTTAAGTCAAGAAAGACCACCATTGTCGGACGCCGATAAGTATGCCTGTGTTCTAAGATATGACGAATGGTGAATATGTGATCGATGCAGCCACGACCAGGTCTGAAGCCAGCTTGATTTCCTCTCGTTTGCATTTCATTAGTCTTAGGCGTCCGATAATTATTGAGACTAGTATTTTAGATACAGGATGATTTTGACCCTCTCTTATATATTGGGACGATAAGTGATTGCGACCAGTTAGATGGGATAATGTCTAACTCCCAGATCTTAGCTAAAATATTAGTCAACCTAATCGCTAAAATTGGACCACCATCCTTAAAGACCTCTGTAGTTAGTCCATCTGGACCAGCTATGGCTTTCTGAACCTCAATTAGAATCGGGGAGTCTATTTCAATATTCCATTCATGGTGTTTGCGAATGGTGGGTAGCTGTAGAGTAGCTGAAGGCCAGCTGAACTGCCCCTTAAAGTTTCAACCATCGTTCTAAACGTCTGGGCTGAGAGCAGATAAGTGTCATATTTTTTGGCGATTGTCTCACACTTGGCTTCTTAATTTCGGTTTCTGTTATTAGTCTGAAAAGCTGTCTTGTGTTACCTACAGCCACTGCCTTTTCCATCCCTTGCTTTCATCGCCCACCATTGCTTACGACCGTTCCGTAAACTTTAGGTTAGCCTACATTTGATTTGTCTTCGCTCGTCATCGTGTTCAGAGCCTGGTGGGGAAGTTTACGAGACTACCAGTGCAACAGATGTAGCATAAATCTACTGGTTTTTCACAACCCTTTGATTCGAATCACCAGATGTTGCTGTTGTTTCCACAGCTGTTTGCATATCCTTCCAAGCAACATATGGGTCAGCCTCGTTTTCTAGATTGCTAAAATTTAACTCCAGTTGTTCCTGGAATTCACCTTTGGTTTTCTCATCGCTGAGTTCAACTCTGATGGGTCTTCTTAATGTGGCTTTTCTGTATCCAGCGAGGCACAAGCGAATGCATGCTCCTATTACAGCATGATCAGAGTCTAAACATGTATTCCAGAACGAGGGGTCTCCTACCGATGACTGATGGCAATACGGTCCATTTAAGTCCATCGTTGGTTTGGTGTAGAGGGTCACCATGTGAGACGATGTCTTATGCTTAAAATTAGTGACTGTTAGAAACAAACGATTATCTGAGCACAGATGCAACAAACCGTCACCATTATCTGTTCACTGGGCCAGAATATCACGATACGCACCTAAATGTTTTTCTTATTTGGTTTAAAGTTACCTACTTAGGTATGAAAGTCACCTGCAACGATTACAATGTCTGAGCGTCTGAAGAAGTTCAGAAAGCTTTCTGTAAAAGTCATCTTTTACTTCATCCGGGCTGCACTCATTGAAAGCGTATGCAGAAACGACGAAACGGCAACGACGTGTGTCGCTATCCTTCCGAGTTCTTACGAAGCTGTTTAGCCGAACATCACATAGGTGACTGTTAAATGGGATCCATCCTAATAGTACTTCTTCCGCCCTCGTACTAAGTACTATGCCTACACCCACCAGTCCACAAAAACTAGCCATCAGGTTGGCAGATAAATGGAGGGTATATCTCGTTGGCTACCTGTTTTGGCTAGGTGAAGTCGTCAATGACCACACTAGGATCCTGTATGCATGCTATGGAGACACACCATACATCAATGGTACGAGATTCTAGGGTCTTAGCCAAGGAGATTTGCTGGCCGACTTGACATGGGGTACGTACGTTGAAGGTTTCAATGTGTAGTTTGGAGCGAGGTTGCAGTAGACCTGATACAGTATTTCGCGCACTAGAATCGTTGGCTATGGTGACAGTTGGGGAGGACGTTTAGAGCCGATAGTCGAGGTAGGAGGAATAATAGTAATCGAAGAGAGAAATTAATCATCAATACAGTGGTCTTAAGTGCTGTTAGATGTATGAAGGCGGTCATAACTTTCTGGTTGCCCATACAGTGGAAAGACATTTCTTCAAGAGGTACATGAAAAGGAAATTTGGTTAGTTGGTCATAGTACACTGTATCTGGAAATATACAAAACGACACTAAAACCAAATAGTTTGGAATTTAAGATCTATCGTTAATTTACTCTCTTGGAGTAATTATGGTATATTTGTATCAGTAAGCTGAATTATAAAAGAAAGACCTAGTTTTATTGAATACCCTCTGATGAATATACAGTAATAGGAACAATTCCCAAAACAATTCAGATAATTTGGTGTTCTTACCACAGAAAATGCAAATTGCTGAGTTTGCTTTTGCAATACTTTTATTGAAGTCATCCAGAACATATAATAGTTTCTTAAGGTTTCAAGAAATCAGTATGTAACAACTAAACCTTTATGATAAACGTCAGTTTACCAATTGTGGATTTGGTTACCTTCTGTACAATAAAAAATAATTCGTGTCCATAATCAACCATTATATTTGTTACTAAGATCAGTTTGTGGTGAGTCATCAACCAAAGCAAGATATCACACACAAGGGAGTTGCATTTTTACAATAAGTAGAGTTTTCATAGATGAAACTAATTAAATTCCTTTTAGGTAAGGCTAAAGCTTCAAGATACTTAATTTTCTTAATATAGTCGCATGAATTTCCCGAATAGCACTAACGACTTCCAGCGACGGCTGTCCATGTACAAATTAGGTACATTTTAAATACATGTATGACTTTTCTTGTCTAAGCGCATTAGTCAACATCAGCCTACTCTATCAACCATAATTCTATAGGGTTTTAACATAACTGACTGTATGCTAATTCGCGTAAAAACTTCGCGGCCTCGAGATTTCGAATATTAAATACATTAGTTAACAGACTAACAATATAAACCGAAAAAGAACTGAGCAATATTCATAATTTACTGAATGTTGTCTGTCTTTTCCTCAGAAAGCAAAGTGCAAATCCTTAAAAACACTAAAGCACATTATCCGACAGCAAGAGACCATAAACCACCCGAACTTAGATTAACTGAGATTGTACAATTTACTATGATTTGATGCTCTTGCCGGAAATGTCACAGATTCCGCAAGTAGTTTGGAGATATATATTGATATTCACAAGTTATTAAATACACAGCTGATTATTGACTGAGAAGAGGTAACTTAAGAAATAATCAGTAGTTAAATAATATACGAGTTAAAGCATCAAACCAACAGTTTATAAAACAAATGTGTAAAGGCAGCTGTCAGACATACATTGTAAGGGACAGTGACACTCACTGGTTACATATACTGGTTTGGATGAAACGGAGAATAGGAGGAACTAAAGAATATCAACTATGTGATTTATGGCGACCAATATCTTTCTCTGTGGTACCAACATATCCGTTAAGTTTACGGGGACGAGTCCATAAGTAGCCGAAACAAAATAACCGAACATCTGGTTCATCATTTACTTTGACTGTATCTTTAATAACCTTAGCACGAGAGAAATAGCCGTACAATTCCGAAAGTTACCGGATTCAGCAAGACCATTACATTTTTTAGACTTAATACTGGATCAGCAGAGACCCATTGACGAAACTTACAATAAGCAATACACATAGAGCAGGAAGGTGAAACAATAATAACTCGTGAGGCACTGCACTGACAATTAAAAAGGGAGAAAATCTTAAAGTTGATGTTGGGCAGCTTAAGGTGCATCGCGCTGAGCCTCCGTCGAATTGTGCTAAAAATAATACATCGTGAATGAACGCTACAGTGTGCTGAACCGAAGTGGACAGTAGTCGCAACAAAATCTAGGCTGTGTCTTTGTCGCTTAGGAGAATGCTAGCAATGGAATCCTTGAGAATTTTGTATCATATTGCTAAAAGCTAAAGCTGACATGTATAAGTGAATAACAATATAAACTAATCGATGAAATCTTATGCATATAAACCTAATAGGAATCACAAAGTGAATAAGCACCCTAGAATCGAGAATACAGCTATAAGCAATCATGTTAATTTATACTAGTAACCATTCATAATTAGTGAACAAGGTATTGAAGTTGAAGGTTCTTTTACAACTTATATGTCACGGTCTCGAAAACCACAGGAATAGTGTGTTACTCTTAATCAAATGAACGCATACTTACTAATAAACACGAAATATGTGGACCACATAGCTACCGAAATGTATAGACACTGTCATCATAAAACAGGATTTTAACTAATCCGCGTAAAACAAGCATTATGTTAATCCGATGCACAAGTGAAACTTTCAATATTCAAGAGCTTTGAGACAAGCCGCAATATGCTAATTGATTTATCAGGCTTCGTATTCTGATGTGAACAGACGGTTTACTGTTTAAAGGTTGCTTTCGACGAGAATATTTACTTAACTCTTGACCCAAGTGGTTCCAATGATATTTGTCTTTATTTTCAATAATTAGGGTAGGTATATCGAACTATATTAGTCCCTGCAGTTTGTAACACTTCGGAGGCCCAATCTCGTTTCGAATATATCAGCAGGAAGCGCTGCAGTAACGTATTCTGGTAGAGAATCCCAGCAACTCACTACTCAGTGCGAGAAGCGAAACTCCAGACGTAGACGATTTGATCTCGGTTTTTAGACTTTCTTCATGTGTCCTCTCAAATACTCAGTCCCAGACAGAAGGAAAAGATGTGACATATTACTAACAAGTTCATCGTTTAGTATACAATGAGCCGGTATTAGATAACCACGTAATCTACGGTAAGATAACGAAAATAAGCTGAGGTGTCTCAGACTGTCTTCATAAGATAGGTCATAGAGACATTTTATCATTTTAGTCCCTTATTGTTGGACTCGTTACAATATATCTGCCTCGTACTTGAAACGGTGACTTTCTGCTTAAATTCTATATTCTAAACATTTATTCATCCATGTACTGTAAAGACCTACGAATAGCCCATAATACCCTAAAGCCTTTGGCGGCAACAGCCTTACAGTTGCTCGTATTTTGAGGCTGCTGCTTATTATGACTCCTAAATTTTTACATTTCATTGCTTTAGGTAAGACAACCCTACATATTGAGTAGTGATACGAATCACAATATTTAATCGCATCACCACACTCATGTTAAAATTAACTTCTAGTGACCATCTTTTCATCCATGCCGCTGGTTGTTCCTCGATGCTAATAGAAAAGCTTCAGCTTTTTCGACATCATCTCATGCAAATATTAACGGATCCTATTGCACCGCAAGTGATTGAATCCCACCACTTCTCTGAGTTCGCCTTTTTATATACGAGAATAACTGTCTCGGAATATTTTTGTAGTCTTTAATAAAAAATTTTTCACATGACTGTCTAGTCTCACTTACCGACGCTTAACAAGCATTCCTAGTCTTACAATAAATGGTTCTGTACTGTTCTAAGCCAGTAGAGATGAACATATTCCAATGCTTTATCCCACGTCTAAGAAGTTTTTTAATCTGCTTAGTTACTCGTGGCGAATATTTACTCGGTTTACGTAGAATTAGGCATGGTATAAATGAGGACGTAAGTGAAATGGGCTTGCCTTTAAATATAAAACATGCTCCTTCAACTAATGAGCTAGTATTTACTTGCCAGTCTGTTGTTTCAGCTTACTATTAAATGGTGGTATGTTTGCTCTCCATACATTAGGGTGAGGTTTAGCCTGATTATATACTGACTCAAGCTGTAAACGTGAATGACAAAACAGCGATATCGCTGCTCGCTAACAGTGGAAGAATATTGTGATAATTAGGAGTATTTGCATTATAGTGCAAACTAGGGATCACAGAAATAACGCGATTAGATCAAGAAGTATAAGATAAGCAGGAACGAATGTACTGTATATGGAATTCCGAATCAAGCATTCAGCATGTACAAAGGAATCATTAGTTCATTCAAACACCACAAATATCTAGATTGGTAATATCCTCAGTCGTATGAGTGGTTACTAAGTCTAAAAAAAGAAGATCCTTGGTTAGAAACAAAATGTATGGGTTTGGATACATACTGTACCAAAGGATGCGCTACTGCCGTCATCAGGGGCCTCCTACCGAAAGAATATACAGATCCCACGGTAGCCATCTCGGTCCAACTAATATCAGGTGTATTAAAGTGTTATTCGCGCTCCATAGCTGAATGTGTCCTAAAAAAGTCATTAGCTAAGCAGATTGGGCCATGATAGATGACACCGAGTATAAATGTAGAATGTCTAATAGTGAGCTCACAGCCAATGACATCACAAGTCCCACCATCACGGGATTCGCGAGCAAAGGAGAGGATATTTATATTGTTGCCTATGCATAAAAAGACGCCACCTACTTTCCGACATTTATGTCTATCACTTCTTAGGTAGTGGTATTTGGATAATTCTGGGGTAATGCTGTAGTCGTGGACTAACCAAGTTTCCGTCAAGACTACAATAAGTGGCCTTAATTTGTCCACTAATGCAACTAGTTAGTAAAATTTATTTCTCAGACTACGAGAGAACGACCTGTCCACATAGGCCTTGGTAGCATTCGCTTTCAAGAACTGACTATTAGAAAACCTACTAAGCAGAGATTCCCCTCATCACTTTGTCGACGGGTCTCTAGTTCGGCTAGTACCACCCTTCTTTTTATTCCATTTTCCAGAGACATATCGGGTCTTACCCGAATGTTAGTCAAGTTGTGACTGCGAGCGCTGCTTAACAGAAGACCACGTTGCTTCTCCAACCCTAAGATTAACTTAGGGAAACTATATGGTCAGATTCAACAGTGTCGTCGGCCCTCTTACCTATTCTTACCAATTTTTTGACCTGAACTCTTTAAGAGTCTACTAATAAAATGCTACGGATAAATTCTCTGAACTTTTCCTAATCGTGTCTAATTTCAGGATTAGGGTTGTTTGATTCTAGTGAATTACGATAACATTCGATGAGATTAAGTTTTTGCCAGCCACGATAGGGTGATATACTGTCGTACTATCAGATTTGGTGGTGTATCACGTGGCTCAGAATGGGAGTCTACCAATGACTTGCTAATCAAGTGGTTGCCGTTCATAGCATCTTTCCTTCACTTCTTTGTCTGTATACTATCATTCAGTTTTTGTCAAATAGGACAGGCGCATCTGGACTATTACAGACTGTGACGGTTTTTGATGGAGTTTTTTATCTGAGCTGGATGGTTTGGTCGTGGAGCTCTTATCGTTCTTCTGAATGATATCATCAGCACAAACTTCAGATAGAAGGGAAGTGTTCGAATTTCTCGACATGTGGTTCGCAGAATGTCCTGTACACCTCGATGTTGATTGGTTCTTGTTTCACTCGGGTCTTCAGTATCTACTGTGGAAGCATGACTACCCACATCAATATCAAGTGGCAATTTACTCCTTGTAAATTTCAACAGAGATTTCGCCGTTCCATCAATTACGGTTTGGTGTTTAAGTCATCCTGTAACAACACATACTACACTGATACATTCTTCACTGTTAGTATTCTTGTTAACAGAGCAACACCATCATTGTCGTTACAGGTCAAAGCCAGGAGACACATAGACCTCTGACTCAGTAACGTTTTACTCGTACAGTAAAACATACAAAACTGGTACATGTCCAATGGTACTACTTTTTACACTCATCACATTACATTCCTTCCTCCACGGAGAATAAACAATTTGGAATTGCCAACAACTGCACTCAGATTAAGATGGCTTAATAATAATAATAATAATAATAATAATAATAATAATAATAATAATAATAATAATATGGTAATAACCATCATATAAGCACAAGTGTCAGAATCAACGAGAAAGAATGTACCATAAGACAAAGTTAAACAATATTTCAAACCCGAACCGAAATATTTCAGCTAAAAGCAGACTAAGAATTCTTTTTGTTGCAAAACGTACAAAAAACGAAGTTAATCACAAGTGCTAAATCGCTGCCTTTTTTTGAAACACGCGCTCAATATATGTGAATCCCTTCACTATTGTCTTCGCTTTTTTCGTTCGTCTTACTGCCTTCACACCTTCTCCTCTAAACTTTGTCTTTGAGTTTTTCTACTTTGCTTCGGAAGCACTGTGTCAATAAATAAAGGTGTTACCGGCTGTGTTAGACCTTAGGATCAGTGAAATGTCTCTGAGCCCTAATCAAATCTTCTGGCAACTGGGTCACTGAATGTCAAATAGTTCATTGAACGCCATAAAGGTCAAGAACAGTCAGTTACTTGCATGCCATGGACTGATCCATGCCGTGGTGGTCTCAACTTCTCCGATTGTATCCACTTTTACTAATACATTCCTGTGATAATGTCCTTTGTGTTATACGGTATTCAAAGCAGCCACAGTGTCTTGATACGATGATGGGTTCCCCACCATCTACGTTGGGTGTTGGCCGTGAGGTGTAAGTTTGAAGTTAGCTGTTGGTTACACCATCCCCGTCTAACTCGAGTAGGCCCTCAACCATTTGACATAGATCATCTACGTCGGTAGTCTATAAACCTGATATGTAGGATGTGAGGTATGAAAGGTTCCGTATTCATTCATTAATCGGAAGAACTGAAATGATAAAGATAAAACTGCTGGCGAGGGATTGTTTAATCGTACTTGTTTGTTTAACTGTACCAAAATACATACCTTCTTCCGTGGATTGTGACCTTGCACGAAATTACGTTTGCTCAGTAGTTCCGCTTGTACTCCTTTGGCACGATCTTGGTATTCTTTTGATACCACGAGATCACCAACAAATATATCTCGCTACAACCATCAATCGCCTTCTGATTTCTTGTTTACTCGTAGGTTTAGCCTGTTCTGGTATGCAATCTACTTGTAGTGGTGATCATAGTCAAACGTGACTCGACGTGACACTTCATCTTAAATTTGATAACCTTTCCACTGTTTCTGAGTATTGATACTAATAGACGAATATTATCACAATCTCTTAGCTTGCCAAATCTAAAAACCTCATTTTTAAAAATGAGGTTACCACAATTGTGGTAACATGTTAGAAGATTCATCGACTCCGTGTTCGTCATGTGTGTCACGTGGTCATATTCAGAAACAGTCAATCTACAGTAGCCCATATTCCTCCCATCCTCTCCCTTAGAGTGTTTCCAGCACCCTTAAGAAATCTCCGTCAGTCTATCTACTGTTGAAATGAATTGCGAAATGGCTTTGCTAGAACATAAGGACTGTAATATCGAATATGTAGAGTATTTCGTTATTTACTAACATTGTAGCAGCTAAATCCA